ATGGGACACGCCTGCGGCAGAGCAGCTGGGGTGCCCTCAGCGCTGTAAGACCAACTCAGCAGCACCCCAGTTGCTCTTGGGGACCCCTGGGACAGAGCAGCTGGGGTGCTGCCAGGTTGGTCCCGTAGTGCCGCCCCTCGGCCCTGCAAGACCAACTCGGCAGCACCCCAGCTCTGCCCCCGGCTTCCCCGATTCAGCTGCTGGTCAGTTTCAGCAGCGGCTGAATCGGGGAAACCAGGCGCAGAGCAGCTCCAATTGTCCGGGTGGAGCACTTCCGGGTTCCTGATGGTGCCGGACCATCAGGAGTGCCGTAGCATTGGATGCTGGACCAATGGAGTTTTACTGTACTTTGCAAATCTCTCGAAGGTCAATCCTTTTCAACATAACTCAACCAGGGATCTTGTAGAGGGAAATTTGACTCTTTGTGAACAGCTTCCCAGATATGCAGCAGGCCAAGTGATATAAGTTTTTTAACATGAAAAAAATTAAAAACCAACAAATGGTCCTGTAGCAACTTAGAGACTAACAAAAAATTTAGTTAGTATCATGAACTTTTGAAGGCACAATCCACTTCTGCAGATGAAAAAGTGGGTTGTGCCCACAGAAGCTCATGATACTATCTACGTCTTTTGTTATTCTCTCTGGTGCTGCAGGACCATTCATTGTTTTTTAAGTTTTTTCAGTTACAGACTAACACGGCTACCCATCTGAGGTGTTTAACATATTACTCACAGTAATGTTAAGGCCATAAAGGACCTGTCATTTTGGATGGAATGAGATGAACAGAGTACAGTTGATGTCTGCACCCAATATGTTTGAAATAATCTTCACAATGCAAGGAATATCAAATTATACCACACCATTCTAAAGAGTTGATGCTGGCCATCACCTACAGTCCTGGCCCTCTGAACCCCACTGGCCATCACCTACAGACCTCAGCTAAAACCTCTCCAACGCATCATCAGTGATCTACAACCCATCCTGGACAATGATCCCTCACTTTCACAGACCCTGGGAGGCAGGCCAGTCCTCGCCCACAGACAACCTGCCAACCTGAAGCATATGCTCACCAGCAAATATACACCGCAGCATTGTAACTCTAACACAGGAACCAATCCATGCAACAAACCTCAGTGCCAACTCTGCCCACATATTTACACCAGCAACGCCATCACAAGACCTAACCAGATGAGCCACACCTTCACTGGTTCATTTACTTGCACATCTACCAACGTAATATATGCCACCTTGTGCCAACAATGCCCCTCTGCTATATACATCGGCCAAACGGGACAGTCCCTACATAAAAGAATAAATGGACACAAATCAGATATTAGGAATGGCAATATATAAAAACCTGTAGGAGAACACTTTAGTCTCCCTGGACACATAATAGTAGATCTAAAGGTAGCCATCCTGCAGCAAAAAAACTTCAAGACCAGACTTCAAAGAGAAACTGCTGAGATACAGTTCATCTGCAAGTTTGACACCGTCAGCTCAGGATTAAACAGACTGTGAATGGCTGGCTAACTACAAAAGCAGCTTCTCCTCTCTTGGTACTCACACCTCCAGATCAGCTGCTAGAAGTGGACCTCATCCTCCCTGATTGAATTAACCTCGTTATCTCCAGCCTGATTCTGGCCTGCATATTTATAACTGCCTCTGGATATTTCCACTACATGCATCTGATGAAGTGGGTCTTTTGCCCACAAAAGCTTATGCTCCAATACATCTGTTAGTCTCTAAGGTGCTATAGGACTCCTTGTTGCTTTTAAAGAGGTGATGGTAATTGGAACAAAACAATGGGTGAACCATTTTCCAGAAATTACAAAAAGAATTTACATTGAACCAAAAAGTTCTTAGAAGCATGAGAACTACAACGTTTTATACACAATAATAATGTGATTCTTGTATGGTTGGAGAAACCAATTCTATATCCTTTCAGAAGTAACAACAATAGAAAGGCCTGCAACAGACTTGTCTGTCATTCTGAATAATCCTGACATTTGAAGATACTTAGATGAGAAGTCAGATGTGCCTGCCGAAAGAATGTAAGGTCTTGATTATAGGACTCCAAGCAAACACATTCTGTAAAAATTTTAGAGTAGCTGAGATCAATAGTTATTATTACTATTTGTACAGCAGTATCTTATAGAGGTCAAGGTCCCACTATGCAAGCTACTGTACAAACAGATAAGCTATTTCCTCTTCACACCAGAAATAATTTTGACCATATCAATGTATGGAATTTTCTGATTTAGTTCTGTTTGAGTATTAAAAAATACTGACTGATGAGAGTGATGCCCAATCAATTAATTGTAGGTTATCCAGATCTGGATGAAGATGACAAATTCACTTCAAGAAGTCCAGTGTTTTCTACAGTTGGAATAGAAGTTCTATGGCTATCTACTGAGTCTGACGTGCATCCTGACTCAACAGGGGATAGGAGGATGAAGTTGGCTCTCCCCTTTCCCCTCTTTTCTGTACCCTTTGTATAAGCTGTCTTTAAATCAGCAGATTCTTCTGAACCCAGGACTCTATTTCCATTTCCAAAGTGAAGGCTGACCTCTGGTTAGATCCCTTCCAAAAACAGGGAGTAAACACTCATATTTCAATCATTAACATCTAAGGGAAAGCAAGAGGCAAATTCTTCTGTAATCACCACATATCTACCCACTACATGGTTTCTTGAGGTTTCTTCTGAAATAACTAGTTTCGGCAACTTTCGTAGACAGGATCCTGGCCTCAATGAACTACTGGGGCTGAACATGTGTGGCCAAGTTTGTGTGTGTGTGCTGAAATGTGCCACTTACAGGGATGTGTACTGAAATTTTAGAAACACATCTTCCAAATATTCTATTGCCACTGAAAGGATTGCTACCACAGGGTGGGTTGGCAGTCATGATGTCTGTACTTATATGCCCACAAGGAGACATTTGGATATAAACTGGGTATTACACCTTATTTTGCAATGTATCAGAGTGGTTCTCTGTCCTAAGAAGGAATTTCTGGAGGTGCATTTTGAGAAATCACACTCAGATTACCTGATGCACGACACCCATGCTAGCTACTGGAGACAATTGGCTCCAGATGACCACTGACGGGGGAAAAAAAAAAAGACTGATTCAATGAAGTTTTGCTTCTTTGCAAATCTTTAGCGTGGTAGTAAAATTTTAGCTAGAGCTAGAAGTGATTAAGTTAAGCAACTCTTGATTTTGAATGGGTAAGTATGAATTCTTTTTGTCAGCCAGCAAGTTATAAGAAAGTCTGTCTCTTTGGACACTGATTGGTATATTGTCCATGAACAAATATAAATTCATAACTTGTGACATGACTTACTGTGATGACCAGGTATTTCTTAGGGCTCTGGATGCAGAGGGCAGGTCAAAAGTAAGTGTTTTGTACAAAAATTATGAGCTTGCATAAACAAATGTTCCTTTTGTCTTTGCCAAAGTGAAGACTGTGTTAGATTGAGAAGAAAATTCACAGGTTTTCTTGAGAACATCTCTTCCAGAAGTTTAACTCTGATTGGGAAACAGCCCCTTGTTAAATACTCTGTGTTGACTATGCTGACTTTAATAGTAAGAGCAAAGGCCTCTCTGCTATCTCAGTTACTCACTGATTTTTGTTCACTGACCAGCTTCTCACCTGTAAATTTGTATTCCCAAGGTTCCTGTGTAGGATAATCCTATTCCTAACAAAGTAATAGAGATGTAGCCATGTTAGCCTAGTCTAGCTGAAACAAAAAACAGGACTATGTAGCACTTTAAAGACTAACAAGATGGTTTATTAGGTGATGAGCTTTCGTGGGTCTATTCCTAACATGACTTCCTTGTAGCTACTATATTAGGAACCATTGCTCTTGTGACAAATCACATCAAGATATATGACCAGAATAGAACCAAAGGCCTCTTATTCCAAATCTTTGTCTGAATGATTATATCTGAGGCACTAAAATTGTTGTGCAGTATGTGTTCACTCTCATTCTCTCCGGGGTCTTTTGAAGAAAGGCACACTTTTCAAAGTGAATTATGTCTTCTGCTGATGGAAATTTTGCTGCCACAACCTAAGGTTCACAGACTTGTATGAAATTCTTTTATGTTTTTATGTAACATTTTAGTTTAATTTTTGTATGGTGTTTTGTGGTATTTCTGATGGCTGCATATGAGAAGAGGTAGGATGCTATATTTCCTGATGAGGGAACCCCTAAACCAACAAGAGTACTGGTACAGATACCTTGATTGGGGGAATAGCTTGCTACACGTCGGCTACAATCTGAAAGGATGCATGCTTGCTCTCCAAGGCTGGCTAGCACCACTTAGTATCACTCAGGGCACTTGAGTAAAACAGGGGTCATTATGAACATTGAAAGGGATTTCTCACTAACCTCCCTATATTCCCATGATAGTGAAATTGTCAAGGAAATGAAATACTCATGTTCCTTTCTTCTGATCATAGTGATTGGAGTGCTCCATATGATTTAATGTAAGCCAACCAATAGAAAATGGGAAGAGTGGCAAAAACACCTTCCCACTTATCAGACTGACCCCTTTATCTGGAAGAGAGAGGGCCTGTGAGCTGAAAGTCAGACAGGCACATTAGATTGCAACTCTGAGCAAGGCTCCACATGAGACACATGCTTCTCTGCATACCATACTGCAGGGTGGGAAAGAGGCAGCGTGTGTGATAATGACATTGTGAAAGAGCCTTTCTGCTGAGAACCACCCACCCTCCCCCCAGAAAATATTTCTTCTCGACGCTAGGCTTACAAGACAAAGGAGAAAGGCTTTTAACTTCAATTTTTACATTGTTCACTCATTAATAATATATATTTGTAGTTTATGAAGGGGACACTTGCCTCTGCTTTTCTGGGATTTGAAATCTCTGGAATTTCCAAGACTTACCCCTGATTCTGTGTTCAGGTGTTCTCGCTGCAAAGTCTCATGCTTCTTGTTGAGCCTCCCATGATTGAGTCATGGTTTCACTACAGGATCAAAGACTTACCCACTTCTCCTACTCAAAGCCCCAAGGATTGGCAGAGTGAGAGTTAGGAGTTTGTGGCTGCAGAGCAGCAAAAACTTGCCTTTTCAATCCTGGCAAGCAGGGTCAATGGCTCCTGGCAGCAGGTCACAGCTTGCCCACCAAGCATACTAAAAAGTTACCCTAAGCATCTTGGAGTTGGCTCCCTGCTTGTAAGGCTTCTCTTCTGCTGCAAAGAGCAGCCCATTTTCAAAAGGTGCTATTCCAGAGAAGAGGAGGTTACTCACCTGTGCAGTAACTGATGTTTTTTGAGAGGAGTGTCCCTGGGGTACTCCACATCAGGTGTTGGTGCATCTCTGCACTCTGGATCGGAATCTTCAGAGCAGCGTCCCTGGGGCTATGCATGCGCAGATCCTGAGCTGCGTGCTCCGAGTGTACTGACATCACACATGAATGAATCTCCCCCTCACTCAGTTCCTTCTCTAATGTGGAGAGAGACTTCCTGAAGAGACCAGGAACTCCAAAGTAGAAGAGAGGAAGGGAGGGTAGTGGAGCAACCACGGGGACACTCATCTCAAAGAAAGTCAGTTACTGCACAGGTGAGTAACTTCCTCTTCTTCTTTGAGAGATGTCCCTCTGGGTGTTCCACATCAGGGGACTATAAAGCTGTATGACTCAAGAAGGCAAGTGCTTCAGATCTGGTATGAAGGTTGTGGAAATGACTGCCTTGGGGAACGTTAGGTTGGATAATGTTCCGTGAGTGAGTAAGTGCACAGTGTAGCAGCTTGGCATACGTCCGCAATGGTGACCTTGTGTAGAAATGCTATTTAGGTAGCCATGGCTCTAGTGGAGTGCAGCCAGATATTTGTAGGATTATTGAAGGACAAGTTAAAACAGAGTCTAATGTACTCTGAGATCCAGTGAGAAATTCTCCGTGATGAGATGGGTTGACGTTTATTATGGTTTGCTATGGAAACGAACAGCTTAGGAGAAGATCTACATGGCTTTGTATAATGTAGGTTGAAAGAAAGCACCCTGTGTAAGTCAAGTGCACACATCTTTGATTCGAAGGAGATGGCATGAGGCTCATCTGGTTGAGATCGAAGGATGAGCATATTTTGTAGTCACCTTTTCCTTAAAAAAGGTCATGTATGGGGGATCTGCCGTAAATGCTGTGATTTCTCCCACTCATGTGGCCAATGTAATGGCTACAAGGAATGCTGTTTCCACAAATAAGTGTAATAGAGAGGAGGGGCCATGCAAGTGCATTCAAATACCAGGTGCAGATCCCAGAGTTTGGGTGGTGGGGACACCTCTGGATAAAGTGCTTATAAGCCTTTTAAGAATCTTTTGGTGATGGGATGTGCAAAGATGGGATATGGGTGAGATTCTGTGGCCTGCATTGTGCAGGGGATCAGACTAGATGATCATAATGGTCCCTTCTGACCTTAAAGTCTATGAGTCTATGATTGAGGAGTCATCTTAATATGCAAAGTTGTTATACAGCCAAGTGTATCTCAATGAAACTAATAGCAAGGCCTGATTGTTTAAGATGCAATAAGTATTCAGGAACAAGGGATATGGAGGTCACTGACGGGACGACTTGACAGTCCAAGCACCATATGAAAAATCCGTTCTATCTTTGAGTGTAGGTATTGGGAGTGTTCTGGAACCTACTATGGAGTAATACCCCATTGTACAAGTTCTGAACATTCTAATTTTTGTGCAGAAAATCATCGAGTTGCCATGTTTTGTGGTGCAACATGCAAAGGTTGTGGTAGCTCATTTGGATTCCCAGTTCGGAGATCTGGAGACTCCGGTAGATATATTGTTGGAACCTGTGACATTCTGGTTAGGAAGGGAAAGCAAGGTTCTCATGGCCACAATGGAGTTGAGGGATACTCTGGCGCTGCCTGTTCTTACTTTGTGTATGACTTTGTTTAGGAAAGGTATGAGTGTGAACGTGTACAGGAGGTCAGATGACCAACTGATTAAGAAGGCATCACAGATGGAGGCTGTCCCCATTTCTGCTCTGGAGCAGAAGAGATAACGAGCAGAAGAGATAACACATCTTGTTGGTTTGAGTGGTGAAGATATCTATGGTGGGGTGAATCCATTGGAGGAAGATCCATAATAAGATGTCCAGGTTGATTAGTCATTCGTGTTTGGGAGTGTGTCAGCCGTAGTGTTGAGCTTGCCTGGAAGATGAAGGGCAATGATTCTGATCCTCTGTTTTATGCACCATTTCCCAGAGGTTGATTTTATTTAAATCAACAGGATGGAACCTGATCACATGCACGGAATACTCCATGCATGTGATCAGGTTCCGCCCTGTTGATTTAAATAAAACATAGCTGCCACGTTGTCTGTGTATATTCTGACGTGGCTGTATGACTTGAAGTTCTAAGCATGTTTATATGGAGTTTCCTCTCTGTGTTGGACCACATTCTTTGAGATGTATGGTGTGCAAGCGTGCTCCCCACCCTCTGAGGGTATGGTAATTGAGGGCTCTGGTGCAAAAATGAAGCCCCCTTACAGAGGTTCTCAGGTATTGTCCACCACTAGAGGGATTGCCTCACTGTTGTGGCAACAGATAGGAATTTGGACAATGGGCATATATTGGGTCTGTACACCCATCTGAGCCAATCCTGAAGTCATTGCATGTATAGGCCTACACTCGTTACTATAAAATTGCACACAGCCATATGCCCCAGTAATTAAGAGGCAATCGTTATCTGTAACTTTGGGGCTGGACTGTAATATGCATACTAGTAGTCTGGAATCTTTCTGTGAGAAGAGAGGAGATAGCCAATGTGGAATCCGGGTAAGCCCCTATGAATTGTATTTTCTGTGTAGGAAGTAAAGCAGTAATGTAAAGCATGTTTATTTGCAGGCCGAGTCTTTTGAAGACATGCATTGTGATGGACATGCTGTGATGATAGTTGAGTTTGGAATGCACTTTGAGGTGGCAATCATCCAGGTAAGGTAACATCATAATATTTTGCTTCCTTAAGTAGGCAGTGACAACAGATAGTACTTTGGAGAATACTCTGAGAGTGGTGGATAGGCCAAAGGGTAGTACCTTGTATTGATAGTGTTTTGAATCTAGAACAAATTGAAGAAAACGTCTAGGAGCTGGATGAATAAAGATGTGAAAATAAGCATCTTGCAAGTCTTGAGAACCAGTTGCTCTGTTGCGATGCTGGGATAATGGTAGCAAGTGAAACCATTTTGAATCATTGTTTCCCACATACTTATTCAATGCTCTCAGGTCTAAGATAGGCTGTCATTCCCCTAATTCTTTTCTCAGTGAGAAAATTGGGAAAGGTTTTTATTCTCGCTATGAACTGCATGGAACCATTTCTCATGCTCATAAATAGTCATAAAGGGATTAGCGTAGCTGTGTTTGATTATTTGAAACACCCATCTATCTTATGTTATAGTTAACCAGTTATGGTAGAACGTGAGGAGGCGGTGTTGGAAAAATTTGAGAGAGGATGATTACATTGGAGGAGGTAAGTGGTATTCCAGGCTCTCAACATAGGTCTCAAATCTGCTTATTGGGTTGCTGGGGTTGTTGCGTGGTATTGGAGGGTGGGCGATGTCGCTATGATCTATGTCTATTCCGCTGTTGCTCTTGTTGAGCTTGTCTTGGGTGGTGTTGGGTATATTGAGGGTATCTTGGATACCTAAATTGTCATCACCTAAGCGCTGGATTGCGGATGCTGAGGGATCTGAGCGTTACCCTGGAATCCTTCATTGAATGAAATATGTTGTTGGTGTTAGCTGTGAATAGTTTCTTGCCATCAAATGGGAGATTTTCAATGGTGGATTGGATCTCCCTAGGAAAGGAAACGGAATTGAGCCAATAGGCTCACCTCATGACAACTGTGATAGCTATGGATCTTGCAACGATGTCTGCAGTATCTAAGGCTGCCTGCAAAGCTGTTTTAGAAATTGTATGTCTGTCAGTGATTATGTCCTTGTATTACTGCTTCTTAGCCTCTGCTCTGTCTGCAATAAAATAATTGAGTTTTGAATAATTTCTGTGGTCGTATTTGCTTAGTAGGGCTATATAATTAGCAACACAGAACTGCAATGTGGATAACATGTAAACCTTGTGCACAAGTCAAGCCGTTTACTGTCAAAGTTGGACAGCATAGATCTCAAGTGTTGCTGTTCATTTTTCTTGTGAGCAGCCTCCACCACCAGTGAGTTAGGTACTGGGTGGGTAAAGAGAAACTCAAGAGTCTTTGGGTGGGAAAAAGTATTTATCATCCGATCTCTTGCACATAGGTGTGACTGTGGTGGGTGTTTGCCAGATGCTTTCAGCTGGTTCCATGATTATAGGGTTGACAGATAAGACTATTTTCAAGGATGTTACCGACAGTAAGATATCTGGAAGTTCATGTTGGTTCTCTGTGACCTCTTGCAATTGAATGTTAAGTTCTGCAGAGACCCATTTGAAGAGGTCTTGAAAGCGTAAAAAGTTGACAGCAGTGGTAGGTGGAGGATGCATGACAGCTTTGTCAGGCGAGAAAGATGCATTAGTATTAGGAGACTATCCAGAGTTGGGTCACTGTTGTGGGCATCCTCTGTGTCCTGGTGGTGCTGAGGAGACAGTGCCTGTGGTGAAAGAGAGTGTTGTATCATGGTGCGTATGCTGGTGTTTGTGATGGGACTGCTGTGGATTCCAATAGCACGATTTTGGTAAGAAGGGCACTAAGGTGGCATCCGTGGGTTTCCATACCAGGGTGGCATGTTTCTCTGTCTGGTGTATGCTGGACAAGCTCTGGCAGAATAAATGGAGTGATCCATAGGGGGAGAATTCTGCAGAGAGAAAACTACGTCCACATCAACATCATCCTCCTCACTTGAGAATCGTTCTGGTGAAAGCGTTTGGTGCTGTGCCAGCGTGCCCGGAGAGCGGTTGATATCAGGGAAAGGTAAGATGAACATAGAGGAAATGAGTAAGTCTCTGTGCTGCGTGTACTGAAGTGCAGGTGTTGACAGTTTCATGGTTGGCTGTATTCAAGAGACTTGTGGTGCTGGATATAATCTCAGCATTAAGCAAACTGGTGATCTTGTCGGTGCTGTCCCGGCATTGGTGACCACTGCAGGAGTAGCGATCGGCATCAGAGGTGCTTATGGTGCCATTGTGGCATCCCGTATGCCTGGTGCTGCTGTTGTATGTGAAACAGGCAACTCAAAGCATGGGTTTTTTGTACACTCTGTCTTGTGTGGCACCAGCAATGCTCAGTGTGTCACAGGTACTGAGGCACAGAGCTTCAGCTGTTCTCTGCAACTGAAGCTGGTGAATGCTGTTGGGTTCTGTAGGAGCTATGAAGCTGGCTTTTTCACAGGCTTTTTATCTTCATGCGCCTGAGAGGTCTCAGAATCTTGTCCTGGGTTAGAAACAGGGTGTAATGATTTTTCTAGTAATATAAGTTTGAGTCACAGGTCTCTGTCATGATGGGCTCTTGATTTCAATTTTGTGCAATGGGAGCACTTTTGAGAGACGCATGCTTCCCCCAAGGCAGGGGATACATTGTGAGTTTTCCTTTGACACTGGAATGGGGGCGTTGTATGAAGAGCAGCATTTAAATTAGGGCAAGACGTGGCTCGCCAAACGGTCCAGGGATGCTGCAGGGAGCCCCAGGCAGGCTCCCAGCTTGCCTCATGCCACCCTCAAACCACTCAAACACGGCCTGGGGGTGGTTTTTCTTTTAAAAACAGTGAGTCTGGAGGAGAGGTGGGAAAGCTTTAGAAGCTGCTCCCACCCCCAGCACAATCCCATTGGCTGGTTTCTGACCAGAAACCGGCCAATGGGAACTGCCTGTTTCAATAATAGGCAGCCACAAAGCACAAGGGACTCCAGAGCACATGCCTGCAGCTTCCGTGGGGATGATGCAGGCAGGGAGGCTGATTCACGAACAGCTGCTGGATGGTAAGTCTCCTGACCAGAGCTTGCCTCTGGCAGGACAGTCCCTCCCTTTCTCAATCCTCTGGCCCCTACTCCACATACTCAAATCCTCTGCCCTGCTCCTGTACCCATATTCCCTCCCAGATCCGGCACTCCAATCCCCTGCCGCAGATCACAGTCCACTTCTGCCCTAGTTCACAACCTAAATCCCTGCACCCCCTCCCGTACCCTAATTCCCTGCCCCAGGTCACAATCCACCACCCTGTTTGCACCCGAATCCACTGTCCCAGGTCACAACTATGTTGTTCACCCAAACTCCCTCCCTTACTCCAAGCACTCTTCTGCACCCAATCTGCACCCCAGATTCGGCACCACCTCTATTAATATCATGAAAAAGTGCAGCCCTCAACCACCTTCCAAATGTTTGGAGTGGCCCCCTCACAAATTATTGCCTGCCCCTGGTTTAAATCCTGGTGAACCAGGCATAATGCTAAAAATAAC